TTTGTATGGCATTCAGTTCCCTCACCGACGGGCTTCTCCGAAGCCTGCCCACACATGTACTTCCGCGCTAGGGGCTTGCCTTCAAAGATGGCGGCGTCAACTGTGCTGTTCGCTCAGCCGTGCGGATGCAGGCCATGATGCTGCACAGTTTCTCCTAGCTTCGGCTTACTTTCAGGGCAAAGGGCTGTCCAGTTGGCTGACTGTCTAGTTGCCCGTCTTTGGCTAGGGCCTACGTAAGGCAGGCACGGGCAGGCCCAAGAAACGTCCCCCGATTGTACTGAGCACTGTCTTGTCTGGCTGCCCTTTCGGGCGAACTCTCTCTGCCGTTCGCTTTTCGCAAGGGTAAGACAAGGGGCGACCCCCACCCCTGCTCTCCCCTCTCCCCTCTCCCTCTCCCTCTCCCTCTCTTCTTCGTCTTCTTACTCTTCTTCTGCAGCTGTCTCTGTAGCTTTTGATCGATCTCTTCTCTTTTGTTGATTCCGCATCCGACGGCGTGATCCCCACATCATAACATTTCGTCCCCCCTAGGAAGTGGATCGGCTTGCCTCCTCGGTTATCGGCCGGTGGCGTGTGTGTTTTGGCCCGCCCAGGTTTGCCCCTGACAGGGCTCTCTTCATGTCCTCGGCGGGTGGTTTTCACTTGTGAAGGCCCCCGGTCTTGGCTGCCGTGTTGCCGATAGGCAGTTTGCTTGGACCTCATGTCCCCGGATGTAGAGGAACTAGGTCTGGCAATCTCCCTTTTATCTAGGAAATGGTTGCTGTCTCTTTCTCTCTCGCTTGCCTTCCTTCCTTTCCGAAGCTTATGGCCCGAGCAGACCCCGTCCGTGCTCCGCAGGTGTGCTCCCTTGATTTGCCCGGTCGGCGTGAAAATACTGCTCAGCCACTCTTCGTTGCCCCTCCGTGGCAGAGCTTCTTCGTTCATTCGTGATTTGTCAAGTTCATTGTGACTGTCTTTCTTCACTCTCTCTTCTTATTATGATTGGTCTTATTCTTCTTCTTGCTCTTCTCATTCTTCTTCTATTCTTCTCATTTTTCTTCCTCCTTACGTGGGGTGTGAGTCCGGACGCTCTCTCTCTGTCTCTCCCTCCCTCTCCTTATTCTTCTGAAGCAGTCTGAGGGCGTGGACAGCAGCGTGAGACAGCGACATGCTCCGCGACAGGACCTATCTCTCTCTCTCTCTCTCTCTCTCTCTCTTCTCCAACACAGCTAGAGACCGGGTCGTGCGCCGTGCGAGCTCGCGCACAGGAGGGATGCAAGGGAGGTGAGAATCAGTTGCACTGATACGACTGAGTCGCCGGCCCGTGACCCACAACCTCTCTCTTTATTTCTGCCGGGCTTAGGGGCACAAAACCCTGCTCGCTTGCATGCAAGGCCTTCGGTCTGGTTGACACATTGGAGCCCCGAATAGTTGCCGCTCTAGGCCCCGAAGCACGATGGGCTCGGACCCTTAAGCTGCGGATTGTTGTCGCGCTCCCAAGTGGTCTCTGTATGGGTTCCGACCCCTGCGCTGCCAGCTTTGCGCGACCAGTGCTTGGTCACAACGACATCCCCGTGCAAGATGAGGACCCTGCTTCTGGATGGTGCTGTCCCTTGCACGAGCCCTTTATCAGCGGTTGCAGCGCTATAGAATGGTTCTGGTCCAATGACACAGGATCCCGGCAGGGCACGAGGAAGCAAAGGGGAAGGGCTACGCAACCTCTCTCTTGCTCTCTCCGACTCTTGCTCCCAGTCTTTTCCTGCATTGCTCTTCAACGATCTTGATCGCTCTCTGCTCTTTCCGCATAACAAATCCTCCAATAAGCGAAACCAGAATCGAAAATCACCTTTAGAGTGCGGCCAAAGCTATCTAGGCACCCAAAAAACGGCAGGTCCTGTGCTGCAGTGACGGTGCCCAACCTGGCAGAAACGCAAAACTGAGTCCCTCTTCAACTCTCAACACATTCTGACGGCCAGCCACAGGTGCCGGAAGTGCCGAAAAACATTTCTGAAAAGACCCCTGCCCCGCCGAACCGATCAGCCCTGGATCGCTGGAGGTTGGAATTTTGCAGATTCACGGGTCAGGAAGAACGGTCCTAGATGTAAAGGCACATTTAAAGGTTTGAGCTGTATCCCGAATACAATTGGCATGGAGTGTTGAAATTGCCTATTCATAGCCGGGCCTGGCATGTCGACTTTGCTTCTAGGAACGGAACACGACTCCGGTGTATATGGAGCTCATTCCACAGGCACCATGATGGCTGAGGGAACCACTGCTCCAAGTAATACTCCACGACGAATGCTGGCAGTTCAGAGCGGGGAAGATGAGCCTTCGTGGGAACGCAGAAGCCGGGGCAACAAAACCGAAGGAAAGATGGTCAAGAACCGCATGTTCCATGCACATCGTTCCAAAAGTGGAGAGAGAATGCGCTAGCTGAACCTGGCTTCCTGCAGCAACCTAGCGCACATCACGAATCAGGGAGCTGCAGCAAGGTTGAGCCCAACTGGCTCGGTGTGTCTATTGACTATTCCGAATAATATGCCCTTTTCTCTGATTCCTGGGCATGCATAGCCGGGGACTCTGTAGCTCTCACATCTGTTCCAAAGCGAGTGAAGCTGAATTGCACGCACAGAATAAACTTATCGGGGCTACCGTGCATGTGTACTCAATGCACTGATCTCGGCTGCAATTGCTGATTCACTTAAACCTTCGAGAGTTGCTGAAGCCGGTGCTGCGTCGGCTTCCGAGTCTGCTGCTGCCTCGACCAGAGCGCAGACGAGCCGCTGGATCGTTTCTGTTCTCAGTTCTGCTCAGTGCTCATCATGAAAAGAAAAAAACTGGGGCCCTCCCTGCCTTGGCCGTGTATAATCTGTCAACTTCGGCCTCAAGCTCCTCTCTCCAAACACGGCTCTGCCTACGCGGGGTGGCAGAGGCCACGGCCTCTGCGTCCCGCTCTTCTCAGGTGCTCAACTTGCCTCTGACCCGGCAGAGCTGACACCCCTCAGCTACACCACGATTGGAGCCCTTGTCACTCGTCCTTGACCGTCATCTTCTTCACTTCCCGACCTGCGTTGCAGACTTGGAATTCCCTGAAACCGGGGGGGTCAAGCTACCGGTACAGCAGGCGATGGCATGATTCCGACATATTCAGACAAGTCTACAGTGTCTCAACTGATGCACGCTGAGCCAAAGTCACCCAAGACGACCCCCGTACACTCTTAGCGGCTTGGCGGATCACCTTGGAAATTTGCCAAGATGTTGCGTAGTGTTGGCCTTATCATCAGACCCGACACAGATGCTGCCCAGCGCACTCCGAGTCGCAACAGCGATAGTATAGGGCTGAGGCGTACGATATTTCACCGGCGCGTCGTGATCCACCTGTGCACAAGGACACCCCTGCAGTAAGTAACCAGTGGAGAGATCGCAAAAGATCGAGGAAGGCGGCCCGGCCCCGGAGCCCCAAAGCACAACGCGCCACCGTGCTAAAGCTTCAGGCTGCAAGCATGTCTGTGGATGCTGGAGGTTCATGGGGACATTGGGGACTGTACCCCAACTTCTATCTCCAGGAATAGCAAGCAAGCAAGCAAGCGCACAGCGGATAGTCTCCTCTTACATGCAGAAACACTTCGCACATAAGGCCTTCAGTAGGTCAGTCTCAATGACTTGAGTGGACTGCCTCGGCAATCTGATCAAACGCTTGTGCTCCGGTCAGCCGGAACAGCGCTGGCCGAGTGCTGAGATATGTTGGACAAGTAGTCCACTAGAACATGCAGGTGCAGTCAGGTGCACAAGAAAGTGCTGGCTTCTTTTCCGCGCTCCACTGCAGACTCCTCCACCAGTCACTATGTCTCACGGTGTCTCAAGTAGCGCTCGAAACGGAACATGTCAAGCGCAGGCCTGTACCACATTCTTCCACAACTGCAGGGATCGGACACATGTTCACTCCAATAGCCGTACTTGGCAAACTTCAGATGATGGCATGCTGCAGTACATGGAAGGCGTGACACTAGACCCCGGGAATGTTATCCCGCAAAGCAGAGCCAGTATTACCACCGGAACTGGAGGGCAGCAAATCCAGGCAGGGTCCCACGAAAAGCTCAGCAACTTCTGACAGTAGTTGTCTAACACCCGTTGGCAACTCAGCTCGCAGACGGTTTGTTCAGTTGAGACCAGCCGATCACAAGGCGGCGCATCCAAGCGCTTCCATGCACTCATTGCACTCAATGAGAGAGAAGCTGCGATTTACACAAACAGAATCGTAGGGCAGCAGCTCTGAAAGTATATGACGCCAGAAAACTGCCTGACAAACAATAATAATAGTTACCTGTGCGGCAGCTTCCCCTTTTCCATCCGCAGGCCGGCGGCTAGCAGACCTGCAGATCGTATTGTTGATACGAATTGGTGGCAGGCATTAGCCTGCATCATCCTTCGCGTTCTGCACCTTTTCATAGGAGGCTGTTCCTGTGGTGCAGAAAAAACCGATTGATCCAAACCGAGCCTGTCAGCGCCAGCTGTCACCATCATGGAGGAAAACACAGAACCCCATCACCCGACTTTTTAGGCCTGCCAGTGGGCGACTCTCTCTATCAAGGCTTTTCCGGAGTGTCTGCCCAGGGGCCAACTCGGGGCTTCGGACATTGCCCCCATCTGACCGCAGCACGGCTCGAATTCGGTAATATACGGGCAATTGAAACAAATGTCTCGGTTCTGAGTGCCATGACTCCGTGGGCAAACCGCAAACTTAGCCAAGCAACCGTATTCGTGCGACAAGACTCCCACGGTGCGCCATGCCACGGAGAGTCAGGCTACTTGTGGCACTGACCCTGCCTTGCAGAGTGGCATCTGCAAGGGGAGGGATGGCTTACGAGCACTTCAAACATCCACAAACAGCCGCGGACAGGCCCGTGACCCCCAGCATCACGACTCGGCACAGATATTCGACCTGTTGTCCGTTAACTGTGTGTATTGGGCTTAAATCCGCTAGGTAGGAAAATCTCAGTCATCCGCGCGCTGCGTGCCCTGTTCTAGATTCCAGCAGCTTCCTCAGGGCCTGTCCAAGCACCTGAGGAGAGCTGAGAAGCGAAGTGATCCCCTCAAGTTTCAGTTTCAGCTCCAACCGCTCTTCGCCCTTGACAGCAACGCTCTGTGAGGGGATCACCTTGAATTGACTAGGGCCCTGTCAGTCATGGTCGCTCCGGCTGTACATGCAGTACAACTCGGGACAAGGGAAGCCCTTCTTGCCTCAGCAAGTTCACAACGAATCTCAACATGCTTGCTCGTCGAATGGACAAGGCACAGACGTTGAAGAAAGGTTCCGAAGTAAAGAAGAGCAAGGAAGCTTTTATTCCGGTGGCGTGCGCTGCACTGATGCATCACTTCGTGCACATGACACTGCCAAAACTTGCAGCCGAAAGTACGACAAAAGCGGCGGAAATGAGTTCGAAGTTCACCGAGGAAATTCTGGGCCCACTGCATGGCCTCGTCCATGACATCCTTCCTGACGATAGTGCTTGCCAATTCCATTCTTGTCTCGGAGTATTGCGAAGAGAAGTACAGCAGGCTACAACTAGGGCTGACTTCGTTTTCGGTGTGATTCGATAGTGCTGCCAAGCGACGTGCTGCAACAGACTACTAGCTGCAGTCTATCATCTGGTTCACCGTGAGTGCCAGCATTCGCCTCGCTTTCACTAAGCCCACTGCCTTGGCCACAAACGCGAGCAGAGGCGCCCATGCGCGGGAAAGGAAGCATGTTGCAGCCACCCTTGCCGATGACACGTGGCACGAGCTCGAAGTCCGCATGTTTGTCGTGGTCATAGCCGGAGAACACAACGGTGAAGTCAAATGTACCCCGTCCCATGCGGTGGTGTCGCCGTGGTGCAACCTTCCGATGGTTCCTGTGATGAGCATGGCTCACCTTCACTGCCTTATGGCGGGGCTCCACATCACCAGGCTTGGGCCAAGGTGAGCTAGGACCTGGATGCTGTGACGTGAGGAGGGTGTTCGGCAACCCCAATGTCGCAGTCGGGGTCACCTCAACCAGTCGAGGCCTCAAAAAAACAGCATTCAACTCTGGCATGCGCTCGTCCAGGGCATCGCCGACGTTGATCTCCCGGTAGAGAGAGGAGTCAAGAGGAAAGGGCAGGTCTTCCGACAAGCCTCAGGAGCTTTCAATCCAAATGCCCAGGCAGAGCTTGCAAGCGCCATGCCAGACTCACAAGGCGCTTTACGAGGGTGAGGGTGGCCTTCCGAAGCAAGAAAACTACAACACAAGCATTGGGAGTGTGTGGAGCGTACGATGGAGCGAGGTGTGTCGGAGTATGTACGAAGTTGCGCAGAGGGTTCAGGGATCAGTTCGAATTGCTAGTACAGTTGGGGTTAGGCCGAAGCGGTGCGTTGCTAAAGCGCCCCCGACTTCAACAAGGTGCGTAGTGCCTAGACAGGGGCAGTCTATAAAGCTTGGGTCGCTTTGATGCAGTCTGGATGCCCAAGCCGTTCTTGTCGAAGTAAAATGCATCCTGGAAAGCCATCGCTCGGAGGCAAAAGGCGGCTCCTTCGCTGAGCAACCCGTATATGATGTGGTTCTCAGGACCTCCCGGAATCTGTCCAACTATAGACTCTGTGGATCCTGACTTACGTGCGGTTCTGAGCTCTTTGAGCCGCATATGCTCCGAGACGTGACCCACGTAGGCATGCAAAGGCCTCACCACAGCACTCTCTGCTTGCACTCCTCAAGCCCTCACTGCCGGCTGAGCTCCGCTCTCGTCCACTGAATATGGTCTGAGCCTCGCGACTCGTGACCCTCGCTTCTTATCACAGGAGACCCTTTGGCTTGGAAGACTTTAAAGCAGAGGAAGTTGCGCAACGTTTCGCTTGGAGTCGAGCTGGAGCTCTCCGCTGGGAAGCTCAATCACTCGGCCGGGCCGGTGAAGCTGAATCTTCGAGGGGTCCAAGTCATCCTCGGCAAGAAAACGCTTGGACCCTTCAGGAATGCAAGTCGCAGTCCTAGGGTTTGCTCTTCCAGGTGGCTTTGCTTCCGACGACTCGATCCAAGGCCAATCGTTCCCCTTCCCTCGTACCGGCTAAGATTGGAACCGTCTCTTGGACGATGTGCGCCGTGTACTCACTCCTGAACTGCAAAACAAGGGCTCCAGGACAGCTAGACTCTAGACACTGCACACAGCTGTTTGTCCCGCTGATCTTTCCACTTCACTTAGAGCGCCACATGTCTTGAAGGATCTGAGTCTGCACGGCGGACTCCTCCTGGCGCAGATGAGACACGACAGACGCAGTCTACAAGTTCTTTGCAAGCATTCTGCAACGACATTGTAAGGTGACACCTGCACGGCGACATTAACACCACGTCGATAGATACCGAGCTTTGTGTGCTGATGATGGCAGCTGCTCGGGAGATCGCAGCGTGTAACCGGAGTAACCTGTAACCAAGACGAGTCAAGTCTCTCTACACAACCAATGTTGGAATGGTGTTGGCGAGCTTGAAGGCAACCTGAAGTCTCTCCATGGGACGACCGGACTGCACAAACCCGTTGCCTTTCGACTCGAGCCCCGTGCATGTAGCTGCTGCACCCATGTGTCGGTGTGTTCCGCTCGCTTCTCTGGAGTGCTTCTGCATGTTGCAGCCACATACAGTGTGAAAAGGATTCAAGATGATGCAAGGACTTCCCATCTGTGTGCTGCAGGGAATACATGTAACAGGATCTAAAAGCATTTGAAGGCAGGGCACGACAGGTCGGATGAATAGGTGCTGTGAGATCAAACGAAATCATCCCCAAAACACGTCCCGAAGCCCTGCAAACCAGAAAGGGTGAAGAGACCTGTCTCTTTCTCGGCCGCACCACTGCTTCAGGCGCTCTCGGGTCAAGCCCGTGTTCACTCCTCCAAGGCACTGTGCCTCGGCCTGAGCATGTGTCTGAGCGACTCCACATGCAATCGTTGAGCCTCTCTCTGGTCCAGGTCCGTCTTCGTCAAGGAGAGACACTCACACCAGGAGCTTTCCGAGTCTGTCGAGGCATTGAGCGCGAAGTGCGAAGGAAGGCACGCCTTGTCTGTACCGGACCACTGCCCAGAGCTACTGATGTTTGCGAGCCTCACACGGACAAGGCCAGTGCAGGTACAGGTCTTGTTGAAAGCTGCGCAGAAAGCCCACTCGGCCCCTTGAGCCGTGGTGGGAAGACGATCTAAAGCACCCTCGCTCATCTCATAAATGAAGCTGTGGAAATACTGCAGTTGGGTCATGACTTCCGCAGGGAGGACCTGTGCTTGTGCTGGAAATTTGGAAGTTAAAATCTGCACGAAGATCCGCTGAAGATCTCGTTCGTCATCCGAGGTGATCCTGTCGAGCCCTGCGCTCATGACTCCATAAACGAGAGTCGACAGAAACTCCGATACGGGGAAGACCTCCGCCTCTCCGGGGATCAGAAGGGTCTCCTTTCATGTCAACGGTCGACAGAGTTACGCCTCTACCGGACTCTACCAGACCACTAGCTAGATCCATACAAGATGGTTGTCTGTTTGGCGCTGTGAGGTGCCTACCCAAAAGCACAGGCACAGGGAGCTTCGAACCAGGCAAGAAGGGATAACGCTGCAGATGAAAAACCTGGCTGTCCTGCTTGTGAAGTTGCAGCAGCCGCTCGGAGCGCAGAGCTTCCTGCGCGAAGCCAGCCATAAGCCCTCCCGAAGTTGTACGGTCAATGGGAGCATCTACAGACCCAGAACCTGAAGCCACATGTCTCGAAGACCAGAGCCACGGAAGAAGCAACAAAATCCAGAGCAGCTTTGGCCTCCAGCAAGAGCCTTCGCAGCCGGCGTACTAGACCTGTGAGGTCCAGGCTCTCGATGGCCTTGGCCCCAGGTGAGGCGAAAGGGAGGACGGTGTACGTTGCATGGTTTCTGCAGCGACTTCCTAATCACTAGTTCGAGCGTGAAAAGGTCGACAGACGAAGAAGGAATTGGAAACCAGTTGAAGCTTCTGGAAATCAAAGCTACACCTTCCCGGCCCTTTTCTACACTTTGAAGCTTGTCTCTGCAATGCCACAGGTGTCGATAAGCCAAATATGCCGAACGATACTCGGCGTACGTCTTCCGGTCACCTGTAAGGTCGTTGGCTAGAAATGCTATAGTATCAAGGCCAGCCGACTCCTTGCAAGTGGTCGCCATCCACCAGGTACGGGAGGTTGGAATCCTGAGATCTGGCGAAGGCTGGAAAGAGGTGGGTCCTGGAGCTCCGAGGCTCGAGCCCTGGCAGTGCTTTCAAATGCTAGGTCCGCTAGGTGGTACCGTTTGTATCCAGACGTTGCGTCGCTACCACGGCAGGCGCAAGACCGACAGAATAGTTGCAGCTCGAGTGCGGGCGGGAGCAATCCTCAGCTCAACCAGATTGCTGACTCATCAGGCATTCCACACACACACACACTCTCTCTCTCTCCTACGGTAGATTTCAGCAAACACTTCGATCTTGCATGTATGCGTGCTGTAAACAGGTTCCTGAGCCCGGGAGCCCTCCGTCTTCGGGCGGAGGATGCGCAGAATGACGGCCAGTGCCCGCCGCTGTGTCTCCGCTGGCATCGGCTGCCTCACGGGACGATTGCAGGACGGCTTGGAGCTGCGAGATGCTGCGCGGAATCCTCTACACCATGAACTGCCTTTGACCGCAGGAAAGGAGTTTGCTAATTTTCTGTTCGAGGATGTCTCCCTCCTCACTGCCCACAGAAACCCTACTATCCCATCCAACCTTGATCGCCGGGTCTGATCGGTGTACTTGTGCAGGTAGGTGTTGTTGATCCCTCCGAGATAGTACACCGCGTTGATGCCTATCTCTGGGAGGAATCCACCGACGACAGAGTGCACAGCCTTGCCATAAAGGCTGTAGGATTCTGCTGGCGCAACCGACATCTCCAGGAGATGATTTTGGATGTCTGCGTAGAGATCCAGCTGTTGGTCCCAGTAGTGCACAGGGTCGGCAGAGAGGTCATAGTCCAAACAAGACCTGACACAAATCAAAAGGGAAGCTTCGCTATGCTGCACCAACCCAAGACATCAGGATATTGAGACCCAGAGACGGATCTTCGCCCAAATAGAGATCATCGTCATAGCAGGTTTGGATGCTTTCGGCACTCCTGCGGACTTCCTGCAGTCATCACAAGGGGTTTGGAGTTGCATCATGAGTCTGGCACGAGGTGCTTTCGAGCTCCGGGCCCGGGGTCCTCCAGGATCTGCTCCGTGGAAGCATCCGAGGGACTCTGCATGTGCGTGTATCCATAGCGGATGGCCAGCTTGTCGTACTCGCCGATAGTCGGGGACCTACTGTTTTCCAACAACAAAACTAGCAATGCGAACTGCGCACCACCAGTACGAGTGCTGATGCTTGTCATACTCTATATCCAGCGTTGACATGACTAGCACTCATCTCATTGGCTCCTCCTCCTCTCCTCCTCCTCAGCCGCCTCCTGCAGCTGCTGCAGATGCAACCACCACCTATTACCACCAGCACTACTAGCACTACTTCCTCGACGATGCCGACTACTAAAGAACACATACTACGACGATGACGACGACGGCGACCACGTCCTCCTCCTCATGCTGCTGCTACCGCCACTAGAGCAAACTGCTTACAGCTCGACACCGCTGTGTCATGCCAGGTTGGTGATGGCTCTAGTTTCTGTCATGGATGGAAGCCGATGGCCACCCGATGCCACCCGACCCCATCGGGCCAAGTGTCCAAACGTGTGTCAGCGAATCTCCAGGTCTCGGGAGGTTCACCGGAATGTAATCCATGACGCTGGCCTCGATCGAAAGGTGAAGAGATGCCTACACAGCTAAGGCAAAAGCTTGCAGGAGACCCGTCTGAGTCTGCCAAGGCACGGAGGTGCCGTGAACGGCCGTGCAATGAAGGTCTTGGAGGCACTCGGGACCTTAACTGTTGCCGCTGTCAAGATGACAATAATCACACAACGCAGCCGGCAGGGTTCGACAAATAATGCGGCCCAGCACGGCGTCCTGGAGCCTGCTTGAGACCGGGATCTAGCTGCATTTTTCTAACGCCCTCCTGTTGCATGTCGAGCAAGATGCAGCCAGAGAAGGGAAGAGGCATACTCTTCGAGGTTGTGCATTTGAAAGACTCCTCAAGCACATCTCATCAAACCCTGCAATTGAGGTGACGGCTGACTCCCATAGAGCCTTTGAAGTTATGCCGCAAGCCCAAGCAGTGACCAACCTGCGCGATTCCAGCGCGCTAGGGAAAGCTTGTGGCTTTCAGCGTATCTGCTGTCCCAGGCGTGGCAACTTCGAACTCCGCCGAAAAGAGTCGGGTCCGTTTCGCGAAAACAGGCTACATGCATTTGCTCTGGTCCAACAGAGTAGAGCGCTGCCTCGTGTGTCACGATCTCCTGCAGCCCTGAGCCCAGTAGCGCCTCCAGTGAGCAAATTTCTCAAGAGGAGCTTGCTCTTTACCCGAATGCTGTGTTGTGAAGGGATGAGAGCCGCAAGACGAGCAAAGAATCCAGCATCGGGATATGCAAGCTGAGGAGTGTTTGACTCAACTTGCTGTCCCTTGGCTGCGGCCCCATTTCCTCTCTGCCCGCTCTGAACATTCGCGTGTGCAAGAGGCCGACTCGCTTCAGAAGCCCTGAAAAACTGTTCGCCCTAACTCCGGCACTTGGACGCTCCGGAGCCGTTGGCATTAAGCTTCTGTGCATTTCTGTGCGAGTATGCGATGATATCGGCTTCAAGAGGCCTCGAGCTCGCTGTGCTGCAGCCGCTTCTGCATGTAGGCCTTGAACACCGAGGAGTGGCGTCGGAGATTATACAGAATGACGCTGGGGCACACACGGCAATCCAGTTGAAACCCATCATGTACCAAAGCTCTACAGTCCGCGACGAAGCATAGCGGGTTTCAGCATTTGTTTACTCCTTGACGACGACCTCCCGCAAGACCGTGGACAGAATGACATGCCAATCCAGCCAGAGCCACAGCGGCAAAGCCGAAACTGCGAGACTTCCGGTCCTTGCCACCCTGCTGCAGCAGCTCGAGGATCCTCCGGGTTGCAGGACGACACAGAGTGACAATGCTTTTTCTGGGTCCTTCGTGTAGAGGTCTGTCCAGGTTCGACTACATCCTGGTGCAGAAGCACCGACACCGAGGGCGTCTTGCTGAGGAAGTTCGTGAAGTTCACGAACTCCATCTGCGGACTTGGCAAGTGAGGGGGGAACGTCTCTGCCCTCAAAAAGGCCGTGCCTCAAGCTCATCCAGGTACGTCTTCACCCAAGAGTCCCCCATGATCACGTCGCACTTCAGGATCTCCCCGCTTCTGGGATCCACCTATTGGGGTTTGTTTCACTCGATGCTCGAGAGAGCCCGCTCCGGAAAGAGATCAGAAGGTCATTTGATCCTTCCCCCAACTGCGATTGGCACAGAGCGTGCGAACAAGTGATATGCATTTCCTGCCTTCGCTATGCCCATGCTGACAGTTGCCTGTCCAGTGCGTTCACTGTCAACACACACAGGAACCGTTCAGTGCCCCGGCCTCGGATGTGTCCCAGGTGATTGCACTAAAGCGAGCATCGGACATGTCATAATCATCTGGCCAATCCTGCATCGTTGAAGCTCCCACATCAAGAAGCCCAAGAGCCCACTCAACGTATTTTCACTTCGCGGCTGTTTCTTCAAACCTTTGCGAGTGCATGCTCACCGTGATGCAGGGCTGACTGAGTATTTACCGCTCTAATTGTCCTTGTCTTCCGGCAGCATCGCTCGCACAGCTTGCGGCCGCTCGATCAAAGTGAAGGCCTCGTTCCAAGCCTCCACGCCCTTCCTGGGAACAGCGGATGAAACACATCAGCGTGGCGAATCACGACTGTAACAGCTGCTCTGATGCTGTGCGTCTAAGCTTCTTGAAGTAGGGCCGCCATCTCGCCGGCACGCTCGGGTCGACGTAGAAGCCTCCCGGCGCGGCATCGCGGTGAGCGCATGCCCAAGTCCTATGCCCCTGACCGCAACCCGACATGCGCCCCATTTCTACATTACCGGAAGACTTTCTCAAACTCGACTCCGATTTCGCCGAATTACAATTCTAAGCCCTTGTCGAAGTGACCAGAGTCTGGCTTGAAATGGATTGCGACGACAGCAACAGACCCATCCAGGCCCAACAACCGGCAATTGCGAGCAGCAGCCGCATGGCGCTGGGTTATGTCGATAGTCGGTGTCAGGATGTTTCGGTGCTCGGGGGCTGCATACCGCCAGCATGAAGCATGCACTTAAGATGACATGGGAAACGAATTCGGCATCGTGGGCTTGACAACATCCAGGCTGAGTTGCGGATGGTATGACCCGGCAGCCGTCGAAGATTATACCTGGCTGAAGCATATGACCCAAGTCAGGCTGCATGTGTAGTAAACTGCAGCAAACTGTGTCGGTGCACACACACACACACACCAACATTCGAAGTAGACATCCCTCACCCATGACTGCCGCATGCATGGCCTCCAGATCATGGAGATGTGGCTGTCCACGGCCTCGCTCGGTTTCTGGTGAGCCTGCATAGTCATGTAAGAGTGCGCAGTTCCACGGGGCGCTTTGGCCCAAGCACAAACTTAACTACTGAAACCCCTGACGGCATCCATGACCCCAGCGAAAGAGCGCACTTGCCTTCTTCCTGTGGCTGCCCTTGTCTTGGTACTGTGTGTCGAAATACAACAAACGATCATCATTTTCCCGGGGTTCCATCGGCTTCTCCGGTAGCAATACAATAGAGTAGCCCACACGGAGCAGCGGCACACGAGGGCCGTAGTCCGCTGTGACGTCGAGGTTGGTGGGAAATTCCTTGGCCTCGATGACCGTAACATCGAAGCCGAGATCCCCGGTGTCAACTACGAAGAAGCCAAGCTCGAGAAAGCTGCTCATGTCCACAATGATGCGATCTTCTGCGCCTGCGCCCGCTGTGCCTGTGCAGTGGAGCCTTGGTAGCGAGGCTTGCAGTCCATTCCCAATTCCAGCTCGGAGAGCATGCCTCGACTGGGGATCCGAAGTCCGCAGGTCCATGACCGGTTTGTACACGTCCACGCTCCGACCGTCTCCTGAGAGCCGCAGCTCCAGTAGCGTGGAGCTGGAGTCTTCTAGTGGAGTGGCCCGCTCTGCCAAGAGCCCCTGATCGTCTGTGTATGCGCCTTGCTTAAATAATGCCATTACCAGAATTTCGATCCTGCCACCTCGGAGAGCGTTCGTCAAATCCAGTGCCAGATTTTCAGGATCCCTAGCACTGCCTGCGCTGGCCGTCCCCAGTCGAAACATGTTAGGGCTGCTGTTCTCGCAAATCTGAGGCAGTGATACGCATCTTGGAAACATACTGGGACATATAACTCGTTCGCGTACACTTGCCGGCAGAGTCGAAACCTGACTTCTGCCCTCTGCACCGACAGACTGCAGATTTAGCCCCATCTGCAGGAATGCAGGAAATTCCGTCTCCCCTGTCCGACATTCTGTATCTTCGTGGCTGAACGCAGAAACTGGCCACTCTATCCAGTCCAACAAAAGCCCAGCAAGCACAACAGCACGTACGACTGCCATGCTCGGGGCCAGGCCGTGACCTAATGGGGTTTCCGGTCACGGAATAGAACTGTGAATGGCAGCGCATCAACATCAAGATGAGCGAGCACTAACCTGAGAAGCACAACTGCGTCGTGAGAACACGCACGCTGTCAAAGCCAAAGACCCAAAGCCAGTTTGCAAGACTGCAATGTCACCTTATGGACAACCTCCCAAAGCCACAACCGGAAATCACTGATCCAAATATTGAAGTGAACAACTATCAACTACATCGATCGCCAAGATCTGTCAAGACTATGTTCGTGCCAACCGTCCCAAATATGATCTGTGTCCCGCTGCTGAGCAAGGTCTCCTCTAAATCCAGGAGCAGGTTGGCGCCTGTGCCCCGCTCGGCCGCTCGTTCGCTCCGTCTCTCTCGCATCTCTCGCTCTCTCCATCAGAATGTGCGGGCAAGCGCACGCTGCACGGTTCTAGCTGCTGAGCATTAAGACTCTTGTCAGTGCGCTTCGGCAAGGGGCTCTTCCACGGATTTTGACACACTCGGTGTGGATGTCGACACAATGGGACCGGGACGTGCATGCACTAAATGTACTGGATGCTCGGACATGTGCATATATATATAGAGAGAGAGAGAGACACACACACGTACACCTACACGCACACACACACATAAACACATACATATACTCAAACAGATATATGCACACACAGACACCTAGACAACACAGACATATACATATACAGATACACATCCGAATCCTCAAGCACATGTACACATACTCATACATATACATACCATTACAATTACATACACAGACACGGAGACAAATACACATGCACACACATATGCAAAGACGTATACATAGACATATAGATATACATAGACGCATACATGGACAAATACACAAATATATATATATATATATATATATGCTACCACCCCCTGGGTTATCCACCCTTTTTGGGTGGAAATGACCAAATTGGCCCATTGCCCGGGCTGCGCCGAGGGGATTGGGATCGGTACCATGCCTCCCAAAATCCCCAAAGACCATAGACAGGGATTTATTGAATGTAGGATTGTAAAGGAACCTTGCTCTTTGAGGGCAGTACCATATATGTTACCCTCCCCCCCTCCGAAAGATCAGGGTTTTCAGATACGAACTGACCTTGAAGAATGCGATAGAAAGGCTCCTCACGGTAGGCGTTTTGTACTGGTGAGCCGCCTTCATAGAACTAGTTGGAGGTTTCTTAACATGCAAACGCACATAAGGATCCTACTACTTGTGGCTTCTATATTGAGGCCCGTGGTCTTCTGAAACTCCTAAACACTAAAGGTCCATGTACATGTACGTATCGTATATACAATAGCTCTAATATTGCCTTTCAGCAACCCTTTCACAACCAAAGTCGACACTACTTACAGGTTTCTCATAGAAACCATAAAGAAATCGTTTGTGGAGCCCTTATAGATCTCTTCAGAAACCTTCTCACTCAATCCATTACAAAACCCTGATAAAGCCCTGATAGAATCCCACCAAAACCCTTTCTTGTGTAGTTGCATGGACCCCTGCAAAGACACATCGAGTTCTCTTCTTGGATCTGTCAAAACTCTGGACTACCCCCCCTGCTAGAACGGAAATATTGGGCCAAATGCCCTTGACTTGAATTCATTCGACAGTCACTTTTGTGGTTGCTACTCCATGTGTATGTGTACGTTTATATAGTATTGCGGCAACCCATAATTGGCACCAAATATGCAACGTAGACGATTTCAGTAAACATACACCCCAAATCGAAACACAAGGAATGCCAAAACACGTTGAGGCGGCGTCGCACGAGATTACTATGGGGGGCCCGCCCATGGTACATATGCATATATGCAGCTTCCTGTTTTTTCTGTGTTTTTGTCTCATCTGAGCCATCCTAGCTTCCCAAATGCGAGCTTTTGTATATCACCAGGTCTCGCGACACCCACACACAAACTCCTAAATACATATGCATTCCAGGTAAACTGGACAAGCACGTTAGTACTGACACTACAGACGCAGGTACATTTCTAAAAGCATTTGGCTCTACGAGATTACTATGGGAGCCATCCATGGTACATATGCATACACGCAGCTCGTCTTTTTCTGTACTGTCTCATCTTAGCCGTCCTAACTTCCCAAATGCGAACTTCTTCCTATTGCATCATGATTGTGCAATATCGCGAGGTCTCACGTGCGACACGCGCACAACAACTCCGATGCAGATGTGTAAATATGCATGTTATGCAAACTGGGCAAACACCTCAATGAAAATATTACTGACGTAGGTAGAGCATGTGGTTCTAGGAATCTTCTTGAGAAGGTGTTTAGACTCCGTGGACACATACATGTGCATTCAATGCTATCTGGAATGTGCCTATACGCGTGTATATACATCTGTGTATGGAGATCATCGGCTCAGCATTGTGTTGTGTAGGTGGCGACTCCGTATCCATTTGTATCTGACGCAAATGCAAAAGGTCATGCTTGTGTATATGTAGCGAACTACCCAATATTATTGCAGTCTTGATGTTGTTGTTGCGGCAGCAGTTACTACTACTACATGGTTGAGACAGGACTGTGTATGTAGGGTTTGACTTTCAGTCCGGAGTATTGAAGTTCAATCCCGAGGATTGAACTTCAATACCCCCGGATCCAAGATTCAAGATTCAAGATCCTGGGGAACCTTTGTCCTGGAATCTTGAATCTTGGATCCGGGAGTATTGAAGTTCAATCCCCGGGATTGAAGTTCAATACTCGGGATGCATCGGGAGCGCTCTCACTTCCCTACACAGGTGCGCAGGCATGTACACTAACATCTGTTGTATTGTTTTGGTACTGCACACGTTCAGAGTACACACGTACTTGTCTTTTGAGTCAGTAGACAAGCGAGGGGGAGGGGTCAGGGGCAGATTGCAGAGGATTTACACCAAAACTGGTGGATAACTCGGGGGGGATACCATATATATATATATATATACATATATATATGTACACATATACATATATGTATGTATGTGTGTATATATATATATATATATATGCTAGCCCCCCCCCCCCCAAGACCAACCCTTATATGTATACGTACATATTACATACATATTACATATATACATACATACATACATACATACAGACAGACAGACATACATACATACATACATACAATAATAATAATAATAATAATATACAATATATACATATATATATATGTACGTATACAGACACCATATGTGTATATACTACTTATATACACACAAAATACACTCAACCAGCTCAATGCTCAGAGCCAGGCATTTGTCCATGATGTGCGCAACGCCCTCCACAGAGCCCTGCGGCCAAAACGATCAGATATACGCAAGCGTGCGGAGACGGAACCAAGGGCCCATAATGAAGTTCATCTCTCAAGTCCCTGCAGCATCGCCAAAGTTGTTCAGCCAGGGTACATCATCTGGATGAAGGCGACCCAGCTCGTCCTCTCTTCGGGAACGGATTGCACTCCAGCTGCAAATTTCCGAAGCTTACAAGCCAATGATTTAAGGGAACAACCTCGAGTCGTGAGTTTGCTGCACCATTGGACCTTAGCCTTACAAACGCTGCTCGGATCAGCCACTGCCTTCAGCTTGTCCACCTTCTCTTGGTAGGTCCGGATCTGGGACCAGTCAGGTCTTCTATCTTTGATCAGGCACAGCTGTGAACCGGTGAGTCTGCACAGGGCAATTATAGCTCAGGCGGATCCGCATCAAGGTGCCACGCACCAAAGGACAGCAATGCGATCTAATATCCTGTAAGGCTACCTGCAAACGAAGACCTGCCTCCGCCTGTTTCACGTCGTCCGCCATGTTCAGCTGCTTCTGATCACATCAACAGGAAATAGCCGAAATAGCAGGCAAGGAAGCAAAGCGAGAGTTGCAGAAATCCATGGAGGACCTGCACCCCGCCTTGAGGTCGCTGTTCTGTTGCTGCAAGGTAGCCAGCTCCGTCCTCTGCTGTTCCCGTGTGCTTTCATGCCCATCTTGATCCTAAGGAGTCCTATCAGGCATCGCTCATCTGCCCTTGCCTCAATTGCTGCTTGCGCGAGTGTCTAAAAACTCCAGATCGCTCCTCAGCTGCTCGATTTCCGCCCGAGCTTCATCCAAAGAGCCCAAGTTGGCCTGCTGCAGAGTAGAAAGTTGTCTGGCAAGCCTTGACTGCCCCATGCAGCTCTCAGCCAGGCACATGAGTTTGGCATTTGGACAAGATAACATCAAGTTCAAGCCCTTTGCAAGATGCCTTACAGATTACGCGGGGCTGCCGGCAGATTTAGCTCTGCAAAACTTACACGACACTCTTCAGCTTGTCCATAGTGTACCAAGGAGTGGCACTTATGCTGTAGGCTCAGTTGTCCCCTGACTACTGTAGCGAATTCACACCTGGGAAGTTGCATCAGACTTCCGGCCAGCAAGAACCTTCTAGCACGCGATGTTGCCCACTGGCACCCTTCTGATAACCTCTCTTCCTTTCGGATCTCATGTCATGTCTAGAGCCTCTGGATAACAAAGATATCAACATGGAGCATGAGGATGGCTTGCGCAAGGCCTGTTATAAATGCAAGACACGTCTCTTGCAGTGAGCCAACGAAAGGTCGACAGAGAGCCCTTGCACTCATTGCATGATGTATGCAGGATCTCACGAGGTGCTGCAAGTCGATATAAGATTCCAGTAGCATCAGGGACACCC